TATCACCCACACCAGCCTGTCCCTTAATTCTGCCATGGCCAACAAGTGTGATGCCACCATGATGCATCTATGGCCACTGTTGTACATCCATGGCCATCATAATGCTTCTGTGGCCACCATGGTACATCCGTGACCAACAAGCAGAATGCCACCATGGTACATCCATGGCCACTATGGTACGGCCATGGCCATCATGATGCATCTATGGCCACCATGAGGCTTCTGTGGACACCATGGTATGGCCATGGGCAACAAGTGTGATGTCACCATGATGCATCCATGGCCACCGTGGTACATCCATGGCCACCATGCACCACAACCACCATGTTGCCTCCATGGTCACCATGTGCCATGACACCATGGTTCCTCCATGGCCATCATGCACTACGACCACCAAGCTTCACAACCTGGTTCCCCACCAGCCTCAGGACGCCCCGGGGGAGGGCTGTGTCCCCTTGGAGTGGACACCCTGGTGGCTCAGTGTCCTTGTGTCACCACAGATGGTCCCGACGAGCCGGCCATCAGCGTGGAGCCCTTCTCCCCGGAACATGGTGGCTTCTCGGCGGGCGAGCGGGAGGACGTGGTCTTGACTTGTTTGGCTCCATCCAACCCACCGAGTCGTTACGTTTGGCTCCACAACGGTTCTCAGGTCCACGTTGGCCAAACCTACGTCATCCCCACCATCGCCCGCGCCCAGGCGGGGACCTACACCTGCTTGGCCGAGAACGTCCATCTCCAAACCCGCACCCAGGCCACCATCGTCCTCACCGTCTACTGTGAGTAACCATGGGGTGACCCGCTGGGTCCACCTCGGGGTGACCCGGATGGATGTGGTGAGATAAAACATGGGTGAGTGAGACAACGTGGTTGGGTGGAGATGCCACCACCACCTCACCTTCTGTCAGCGTTGATGGTCTCCTGCAGATCCACCAGCTGGGAGCCCCAGTTGCTCAGCCACGGCCACCGGTGGGGATCTGCAGGACGTGGCCCTGCGGTGCCGTTGGTTGGGGGGGTTCCCGCCGGCGCGGTTGCGTTGGGTGGGTCCCCAGGAGGAGGAGAAGGAGGAGAAGGAGATGATGGAGATGAGCTTCTCCATGGCCACCAGCATCCAACCAGGAGCAACCACCAGGAACGGCAGCTCCTTCTCCTGCCTGGCCTCTCACCCGGCGTTGCCGCGGGGCGGCACGTGCGGGACCACCCTGTGTGAGGAGCG